TGTTTGATGACAAACAGCCTTATGTTTATAAGTGACAGTTTTCCTGCTAAGTACCTGCATGTCATAAGCATTTGAATTAAAATTACCATATTGAAATCAAATCTGATGTTTTTTAATTTTTATTTGGTGTGCGTTGGAACAGGGGTAGTCTTATACGGTGAGTATAGCCCAAACTCTATATTTTAACTGGAAAAGTTGGAGGTCGTCTTATACACCCAGTCGTCTTATACGCCAAAATATACGGTACAAATTCTGTACAGCTCAAGGTGAATAATAAAGTACAGTAATGCAAAGTGTTCTGAAAGAGCAATATAGAGTATGCAAGCAAATTAGTAAATGAATTAATAGAAGAAAAATGAAAAAAGACTGACCAATAGGAATCCTTTAGGAAAAATGATTCAGTAATGTTTAATACGCCATGGATATATAGTTAGCTTATGCTTCTTTTCAGTTGCCTGTAATCATTCAATCATAATCCTGTAACATCCACCAACAGTCATATCTCTATACAACACACTCAGTCACATTAGTCAAACTGCTTGTACCACAGCAGTGCAAATTCAAGTATGTATCCAGGGGTGGGATTCAATTTGTCTTCTCTTTTTACAGGCAATATATACGTTTACTTGGTTTTTACATGATTTGATAATATTTTTTACCTTTTGCTTTAGTATTAGCTGACTGGGACATGTTTAAAATGTTGCAGATTATAAATATAGTAAAAATAACACAACAATAAGTATTACATATCAACACCTATGGTATGTGACCTAACACCAAAATGGTAGGCAGTATTAGCAATTGCTGGATCTTAAGTCTGCCCTGGTCTAAGTTCACAAATATTACCATTTTTTCCATTTCTACTCTAGAGCAATGATCCATTATTAGTGTGTACAGTTCTTAGCATTCTTTCTAAGTTCAGAATGTGATTTACATCATTATACTGAATAGAAACTGTGAATTGCCTTAAAGTTAATAAAACTTGTTAAACTTTCCCAGACTTTTGTACGGAAGGCACGGGAACTAGCTTTACTGTCAGAACCCATTTCTACTTCATTTCTATCTATCCCCTCTGATCTAAAAACAAATCTCACCTTTCCCTGGGTTCTGCCATACTCCCAAGGGGGAGGGGGGATATGCCTGCGGGGTTATTGCTTTCGCTTCCTCTATTTGCTACAATGTAACCTTTTGCTTTGTTTACTGCTTCTGTGTCCATTGGCCGCTACAATGTAACAAATTGCTTCCTGCACTGTGTCTCTCTCTGAACTTTCTTCTCCCTAACCTATCAGCTAGGAAAAGGGGGGGAGAAAGAAATACAATCTCTGGAGCCTGGCTTATCTCTCCGTTTCTCAAAAGAAGGTGCGAAGAGCCGCTTGAACATCGCACTGCAACCAGAGCCGGATCGATGTTATCTCCCCTTTTTCCACGATGGACTTAACACCTGGGGATTGGCCAGTTTTGAACCATCTGGATGAACTGTGGGTGGGGTTTGCTTGGGGACACTTTAAAGTATTGATTTGTAACAAATCCCTCAGATCCTGTCTATTATGCCTGCTATCAACTACTCTTAATAAAAGTTCCTGTTGGAAGAAATTGTTTCCAAGAGTTCTGCTTTCTTAAGATGTGGAGCTGAAGTGGGTCCTTACATTAGACAGGATCTGCAGTAATAGTCAACCTGGAAGGAAGACCCTTACTGGGGGACTTTGCAAAATCTACAATGTCGGATGATGGGGCAGGGAAGGAAGAAACCACCGTGAAAGGGGAGCCCTCCCTCCGGCAGGAACCCTGCCAGCTGTCAGGATCCAAGACGTCATACTCCTCAGGAGAAGGTGTGGTGGAAATGTGTGACCACAAACCTCAGTGGTCGATGGGCGTTAGCAAGAAAGACGAGTGGGAAAAGAGATCGAGAAAGCAATCAGTGAAAGTAACCTATACCCCCTACCCCTCATGAAGGACATGTTATCTCACCTATCGAAAGGAAGAATTTTCACCAAACTAGACCTAAGGGAAGCGTATTACCACGTTAGGATTAAGAAAGGGGATGAATGGAAAACTGCATTTAATTGCCCAATGGGATTCTACCAATTCAAAGTTTTGCCGTTTGGACTACAAGGGGCCCCTGCAGCATTTATGCAATTAATCAACGAGGTACTAAGGGACCACCTATTTAATGGGGTCCTGGTTTATCTAGAGACAACATCCTTATCTTCACTGAGTCCAAAGAGGAGCATGTCAACCTAGTCAGTGAGGTTTTAAAGAAACTGTGAGCTGCCCACCTATATGCCAAATATCAAAGTGCAAATTCCACCAGGAAAAAATAGACTACCTGGGTTATTGCATCTCCCCACAGGGCATTGAAATGGACCCCAAGAAGTACTAGAATGGGCACCACCTCGCACCAGGAAGCAACTGCAAAGTTTCCTGGGTTTCGCAAACTTTTATCGCCAGTTCATCCCTTCATTCGCCCAAATAGCCCTGCCCCTCACGAACCTACTAAAAATGAAGGGAGAATCCTCAGTGAAACCCAGCCAGCCACTGAAATGGACAATGGAATGCCAAGCGGCGTTCGAGCGGCTAAAGAGACTCTTTTCCGCTGAACCCATACTGAGGCACCCAGACCCGGAAAAACCCTTTGTTATACAGGCAGACGCAAGCGATGTGGCAGTAGGGGCTGTATTATTACAAGAAAACGATGAAGGGGTATTGCAACCGTGCGCGTACACATCCAGGAAACTCACTGAGACGGAACAGTGCTGGGCCGTGTGGGAAAAGGACGCGTACGCTGTGAGATGGTCATTACTTACATGGCACCATTTCCTTGATGGGAATAAAATCCCTTTTCAGGTCTGGACGGACCACAAAAACTTGGAAGCATTAAAAACACCCGGAAAGCTCACTCCTAAACAAGGCCGCTGGTCCCAGCATTTTCACCAATTCCGTTTTACACTCAAACACTTGCTGGGGGGGGGGAAGAACTTCCTGGCAGATGCAATGTCTTGCATGCCCCAATATAACAGCATGCGAGCCACTGGTTCTAACCCACTCATTCCGGAATCACAACTGGCAGCACCAGTAACCACCAGGGCTCAAGCTAAAATAAAGCCGCAGCTGGGTAGCTAAACTGGAATTGAATTCCGGAAAACTATAGAAACAGATGAATGGTTCCAGAAAAATAGACACATGTGTACGATCAAGAATGGACTGCCATGGGTGGGGGAGAAGTTATATATACCAGCCACCCAGAGGGTCACTTTCATGCAGCTATGCCATGATACAAAATCAACAGGCATTTCAGATTTGTAAAAACGTTACATTTAATTAAAAGGTAATTTTGGTGGCCATCCAAGTTACGTGGCCAGCTGGCCAACTTGTGCAGCTGCTAAGAGGTTGCAAGGGAAATCGCCCGGACTGTTACAACCAGTGGCAAATTCCTCAGCCCCCTGGAAAGAAATATCCATGGATTTTATAGTGAAATTACCAGAAAGCAATGGAAACACTGTCATCTGGGTGGTTACGGACCTGTTTTCCAAACAAGTGCACTTTATCCCTTGCCAAAAGATTCCCACCACAAAAACCTTAGCGAAACTATTCGTGCAGCACATCTACAGACTGCATGGGGCACCCCAACGCATCATATCTGATAGGGGAGTGCAATTTATATCAGAATTTTGGAAGGAATTTTTATCCCTCTTAGGAATCACTCAGGGACTATCATCTAGTCATCATCCTCAATGCAATGGACAGACAGAACGTTCTAACTCAGTACTTGAACAATACTTAAGATGCTTTATTAATTTTTAAATTAATTATTAATTTCCAGCAAACGAATTGGACAGACCTACTCCCTTTCACAGAAGTTGCTTACAATAATGCAGTCCACTCCAGCACAGGCTACACTCCCTTTCAAGTAGCCACTGGTCAAAGTTTCAACCCTATGCCAGAACTAATACCAAATGAACCGGCAATCCCATCGCTGAAAGAATGGATAGAACAATTACAAAACACCTGGCCAGTAGTTAGGAAAGCCTTAGACAAAGCTAGGCAAGCATACAAAGCACAAGCAGATAAAAAAGAGTCGAACCTATACCATTCACTGTGGGAGAAATGGTATATCTGTCTACAAAATACCTAAAATCCCTACAGCCCTGTAAAAAACTTGGGCCAAAATATATAGGATCTTTTCCAATTAAAAGAATCATAAACCCAGTAACAGTAGAATTAGAATTACCCCAAAACCTCAGGCAAATACAACCAATTTTTCACTGCAGCTTGATGAAACGAGAACAACAGTTACCCTTATGGCCAAAAATCCCCACAACCACCACCTCCAATCATGGTTGAAGGAGAACAATACTTTGAAATAAAAGAAATCCTAGATTCTAGGAAGTATCATGGGGCAACTCAATACCTAGTAGCATGGAAATACCCTCCCTCCTCACAAAACGAATGGGTCCATAAACGTCATGTCAGAGCATCTAAACTGCTAAAGACATTTCATACAGAATATCCCAACAAACCAGACTAACCTCTATACCTGTTTTGTTTTCTCTACAGGTGGATCTCTCCTATTTTTAAGCGAGGCAGGATGTCAGAACCCATTTCTATTTCATTTCTATCTATCCCCTCTGATCTAAAAACAAATCTCACCTTTCCCTGGGTTCTGCCATACTCCCAAGGGGGAGGGGGGATATGCCTGTGGGGTTATTGCTTTCGCTTCCTCTATTCGCTACAATGTAACCTTTTGCTTTGTTTACTGCTTCTGTGTCCGCTGGCCAATACAATGTAACAAATTGCTTCCTGCACTGTGTCCCTCTCTGAACTTTCTTCTCCCTAACCTGTCAGCTAGGAAAAGGGGGGGGGGAGGGAGAAAGAAATACAACCTCTGGAGCCTGGCTTATCTCTCCGTTTCTCAAAAGAAGGTGTGAAGAGGCGCTTGAACATCGCTCTGTAACCAGAGCCGGATCAATGTTATCTCCCCTTTTTCCACGATGGACTTAACACCTGGGGATTGGCCAGTTTTGAACCGTCTGGATGAACTGTGGGTGGGGTTTGCTTGGGGACACTTTAAAGTATCGATCTGTAAGGAATCCCTCAAATCCTAACTATTATGCCTGCTATCAACTACTCTTAATAAAATTCTTGTTCGAAGAAATTGTTTCCAAGAGTTCTGCTTTCTTAAGATGTGGGGCTGAAGTCGGTCCTTATATTTACTTTGGAAAGTAAAGAGTTTAACATAGTTTTGGTTTTTGGAAGAACTGATATTGAGCAAAGCCACCACGGTTACTACTATACTGGATTCCTTCCTCAGCATCCCAGATTTGCACCATATAAAGTTGTGAGAAGAGTGAAATCTACCTCTAAATATCTGTGCAGAGGTTTTTTTTACATTTCTTTCTAATATACTGCTACCAAATAATTCCATTTAGATCTTATCTGAATTCTCTCAGATGCATTTCTAAAATGCCATCTATTTAAGACATGGAAAAAAATAAGCATCAGGATGGATATCATGAGATGTTTTCACCATTGTTATATCTACAGTCACAACACTTTCCTATTATTTACATTGTACTTTTCTAAATAAAGTGACTTCTGACTAAGTCCCCCCCCCCCCGTTCTTTCTTTCAGGGTCCTGATGGCTACCCAGGAAACCCTGGTGATCAAGGTCCACCAGGAGATGAAGGGATAAAGGTCTGTACCATTCCATACTGGCAGAGATTAAAGGCAGCATGACATAGTCAGGAAGAGTAAATTCAAACGAAAATAGTACATTAATCAGGCTGATTTCTCAGTTGAGAAACTGAGAAAGTTTCTCAATGTATTTAGTTTAGAAAAAGGATAGTAAAAGGAAATGAGCATAGTAGAGATTTGTTTTTTAAAAAAGATTTTTTTAGAACTTGGGTTACAAAGTAGGAAAACAAAATTAAGTTGCTCTTCATTCAGGGAATTCTAGGGCTCTGCTAAGATTTGGAATGGACCTCCAAAAGGTGCATCTCAAAAGTGTGGGAATACCAATGGTCTGTTTGCAGCCTCTTAAAGGAGCCCTGCCCTTTTCTTTGATTGCAGAGCACCTTCAGAGGGCAAGCCTAGTGAGAAGACAGGCAGCTTCTCTGCAGTGTCACAAAGTAATTGCAAGTTTGCTCTGTTCAATTGATTTTACCTTTATAACGAAACAAATCTTATGATGAGTTTTGATTTGTAAAGGGAGCTAGAAATTCTGAAAATTAAAGTAAGGAAGATGCTGTTGTCTGTAGGAAGAGAAATAAGAGTCATTTAGAGAACCTTTTTCTTGCGTGTCACTTTCCATTTCCCAGTTGCTAATTTTTCCCATGGGTGAGCTGTTACTTGGGAATTCAAATCCAGCTTAATGTCAGGCTTGTCCCAACATGAACATTTAGGAAAGAAAGACCCTCAACTCCGTGGTTGAAGTGAAAGGTTCACTTTTACTAAAGTCAAGCAGTTACAGCATAAGCAAAGCTGGATCTGAATATTCCTGCTCAAAGCCTGCAGTTTTCCCACTTCCCTGGCCTTTCCCCCTTGACCATCCATCAGTGTCTAATAGTATTCACTTTAGCTGTTTTGGGAATGACTTTGAGGTTTGGCACCTCTTTGGTGGGGTTTCGCATTCTGTTCTCATGCTCCATCCTTGATCAGCTGGTTCATTCCAGATCATCACCTCTGGTTCTTGTCATTCTCCCCCTTCCTCCCACTCCTTATTTCCCCAATCTCCTCCCCTCCCTGCATTTTATGGCAGGATGCCAGCAAAGATGGCAGACCTGACAGTGGGGGATGATTTAAAAGGAGAAAAGACACTGAATTCCTCCACCCCAATACAATCATTGCTATTAAATTACATTTAAAATGAGTCATTTATTTATAGCTCTTCCATGACTATCAGAATGGGATGCAACTTGTTTTAGGAGGGCCTAATCTAAAGCTTGCATGACTAGAAATTGGGAAAAGCTGCTTTAGATGCTTCTTGATGCTTCTGGATGCTTAGGAAATGGGCAAGAGAAATAAAACAGGCCTTCACTAAGCATCTGTAATGAATTCCTTGAGGGTGGCATGGACCAAGACACAAAGTATGGTTGATTTTTTTTCCTATCAGAGAATGTTTTATTGCACAAAATTAAGTTTTCCAGTATCTGAATATGGAAGAGAAATCCTAGCCTGGCTGATCCGAGTTCCTTGCCAGTTGCCCCTTTCCTCACCAGCTCTTCCCAGTTGGTGCTCCTTTGCCTGCATCTGGATCTCTGAATCTGGTCTGTCCCATGTCCCATGCCAGTCTCTTCTGCTCCTCTCTTCCATCTAATTTCTGGCTCAACTTCCCTTCTCTCCACACTTTCAATCTCCTTCTCAGCTTCCACCATACATCCTTCTGCTGGGTGTGACCATAACATAGTCTGATCTGGACTAATTTCATTCTGATTCCAGTATATGTATATGCATGCATGCATATGTAACTAAAACAATGATAACTCTAACAGCTGTAACTGTTACAACTATAATTAAATTGTAACTTACATGCATTGTTTACTACATCTTGTTTCAGGGAGATCCTGGCTGGCCTGGCAAACATGGACCACCTGGTCCCATTGGAGAACCCGGAAGCTCTGTATGTAACCCTGTGACTTTTCTGAAATAATTTAATTCCTTGAACTTCAGAGCCGCATACTGACTGTAGCGCATCAGTAGCATGATTTCAAAATGTGGATATGATGTATCTTTCTTTTATAGCAACTATAAAAAATTAGGAAAATAGGAACTTTGGTTAGACTGAGCTAAACTTAAACTAAACTCCTCTAGTAAACCCCCAAATGTTAAGGGGAGCATTCATTTATATTTGTATTTGAGGACAACTACTTGTTGGAAGTATGATTAAGATAAAGTACCTAAGAGAGTATTTCACAAATTTCACAATCCAGGCTATTGATTGAACTCTCTAACATTGTGCCTGAAACTATCTGTAAGCAGATGGTCTCAAGGTAAGCATTTTCAAGCAACACTTTTCTTGGAGAGACTTTTTCTTCCTACCCACTATTTTCAGAACTGTATTTAGCAGGACTAAAAAGAAAAAAAGAAAAAAAAACTGGCTAAAGAAATCCAGATAGACCCCTTAAAATTTGGTCCCTCATCCTAATGATAATTGATTACTGATTTGTATTACAAAAGAAAGGAAACAAATTTGCAAAAACCTAACATTTGGAAGTGTGGTTCAGTGTGATCAAATCAGATAATCCTTTGGAACAGTACCTTTTGTTGTCTGAAAGCCTTTTCTAATGGGTTTTATTTCTATTGTTTTTCTTTTATTTTCAAAGGGACCAAAAGGATACAAAGGAGAACCTGGTCTTCCTGGCCTCAAGGGAAGTCCAGGCACCAAAGGACTTGGGGGACCAAAAGGAGAAGCTGTAAGACCGTTGATGCTTTCTAGCTTTGCTTTTTTCTGTGCTTTTCAAAGGCAGGTTGCATTACAAGTCTTAAAAGACAGCCAGAAGGGCAGTACTTCAGAGCTGCATGCAGTATCTAGATGCAGGTGCCAGACTTTTGGAGTAGATTTTCTTTATATAATACCTTGTGAAACAATTCATTGCATCAATCATTATATGAAGATTTGGAGATTCCAATTTCTTTCTTTTTATCACATTCAAATGTCATCATATAAAAATGTACTATAGTGATCCTTAATTTTCTGCCTTAATATTTAAATTTTAATAAAATGTCTCCCCTTGGCACATATTAGTGGATGAAATGCACAGAAGAAACAAATAAGAATTGTTTTAATTTTAAAATAAATACACTGTCTTCTTCCTATGTGAAAACCAATCCATCAAAGGCTATATTAAATGCAGAAATCTTAATCTTGAAAGGTCTGAATTTTGCTCCAGTTCATTGATAATCAAATGATTTTATTTGGCCTTCTTTTCCTGGTAGTATCTTCATGGCTTAAAATAGAGTAAGCATTCTTTGTGTAGCTGTTTAGCATTTCAGTGAAGTAATCCACATTTGGAGTTTGATTTAAAAAAAATTTTTTTACTCTGTTTTGCTCAGGGTCGTCGTGGTGATCCTGGAGACATAGGAAAACCTGGAAATCAAGGATCCAAGGGGGGGAAAGTAAGTATTGTGTTTCCCCAAAAATAAGATCTACCCTGAAAATAAACCCTAGCTTGCTTTTGGGGGGTGGGCCTAATATAAGCCCTACCCTAAATGTAAGCCCTAGTTCAAGCTAGGGCGAGGGTGGGGGGGTGAAGCTACCTCACACACCCCGCAACCATTTATCATTGCAGCCAGGCCTCCCATGCCCCAATATTTGCCTCACCTTGCTGGCCCACTTCTTCTGCGGCCACTTGCCACCACTTGCACACATGCATCACCCCAAGCCTCCATTTCACCATCAGAGGCCTTCAGGAAATGTCTCTGAAGCTGAGAATGGAGCTCCAGATTGATGCACGCAGTGCCCCCCAGCCTCCATTTCGCCATCAGAGGCCTTCTTGAAAGGCCTCTGCAGCTGAGAACCAAGCTCCGGATTGAGGCATGTGGCACCTGAAGGCCCCTGATGGCAAAATGGAGGCCGGGGGCAACACACACAAGCAGTGGCAAGCAGCAGAAGAAGTAAGCCACTGGGTAGGGCTGTTGGTGCCGCTGCCGCGAGGTGAGACCATGGAAAAGACACCCTCCAAAAATAAGACCTGGTGCCTCTTTTGGAGGAAAAAAAGAGACCAGGTCTTATTTTCCGGGAAACACAGTATCACTAAGTGTCCAAAACAACAGAGATAAATCTTTTCAACCCTAGTGCTTACAAAAATCTCTTGGGAAAGGGAATGATACATGTAGATTTCTAGTGGAAATGAATAAGCTATAAAAAAGAACAAAAGTATGTCTGAGAAAAGTTTTTTCTTACTTCCTAAAGAGACTTGCTTGATTCTCAGTCCTTGCTGGGACTCCATCTGGGACTCCAGGAAGATAAAGGGAGCTGTTACTTATGAGGTTCTTTTGCCTTTATTAATTTTCCAGGACATGTTGGTGAATTTTATTACTTAGCTGGAGTTCTTAACATGGTGCTTATAGACTTCATTCAGTTCACCATTGTATTTCATGGCAGCTGCCTGATTTGACTTTTAAAGTTTAACAAAATAATATTGGGAAAGTGACATTCTGCAAAGCAAAGTTCCAGCCTCCAGAATTATCTGAGTTCCATGAGCATTCTTTGAAAATAAGGATGCAGCATGGTGGCAGCTAATCAGCAAAGCAAGCTGAGAAGGATAGATAAGGAAAAGCCAATGGGGGACAGGAGAAAGGTAGAATCTCTCTCCTTCTGGCAAATCAGCATTTTATACTTGACCATGCCCACTGTGGCATCTGTTTTTGACAAGGCCCATTATATCTTCTAAAAGATTTAAATATATCAATTGACTCAAACCTAGCAGACAACTTTGTCTCCCAAAAAGTAGAGAAGGGAGCTAGGGGATCAGCCATATTGGACTTAATTCTCACTAACAGAGATGAAATGATAGAAGGTGTTGAAACCACAGGAACCTTGGGGGGGAGTGATCATGCAATATTGGAATTCAGCATTATGCAAGCACAAGCAATAGAACACAGTCAAACTAGGGTCTTGGACTTTAAGAGAGCTAATTTCAACAAACTTAGAGAGAGCTTGGGAAGGATTCCATGGATGAGAATCTTCAAGAGGAAAACAACTCAAGAAGCTTGGAAAATTTTGAAAAGTGAGATTATAAAAGCCTAGTCTAGCACAATACCAACTAAGAAGAAAAATAACAGCTCTCAAAAGAAACCAGCATAGCTGCATAAAGAACTTTCTAATAAATTGAAAGACAAAAGGGACAAGTATAAAAAGTGGAAAGAGGGGCACAAAACTAAGGCAGAATATCAGCAAATAGCCCGAGCCTGCAAAGATGAAGTGAGGAAAGCTAAGGCTCAAAATGAAGTAAGGCTTCCAACAAAAGTCAAAAATAACAAAAAAAGCTTCTTTCAACATGTAAAAAACAAGAAAAAGGTTAAGGAAATGATTGGTTCACTAGGAACACTGGGAGCCGGAAAACTCTTTTGATATCTAAAATGAAGATGACACTGCATATATCCTTTTAGGTAAAAGATAAAGGTAAAAAAGGATATATGCAATGTTATCTTCATTTTAGATGTCAAAAGGGTCTCTGTGTGTGTCTCTCTCTTTTTAGGCCTTTGACTTTATCTTTAGTTATGTTTACTTGTTGCTTTTGGGCAATAAACAGATTTAGAGATCAATAAGAAAGTAGTGGCATATTAATCCAGGTCCCCAATGTTTATCTTAAATCTTGGTTTAAATATTAAATGTATGGATGTATGGATGTCTTGCTGGAGTTTTCTCTCATATGTCCAATTATTAGGCATAGTAAGCTAGAATAAAGTTGAAAGCAATAACTAATATGAACTATTTCTTTATTCATAGGGAGATCCTGGTTCTGAGGGACAAAGGGGTCTACCAGGAGAAGTTGGAGAAAAAGGAAGAAATGTATGATAGAATGATAAATATCAGTAAATGCCCCTCCCATTTAGACTTCTTTAGCCACTACTTTAAAAATAGATTGAAAAATGGTTCCCTATTATTATGGATATTTACATATTATTCGTTTACATATACTACTAGAATTTGTGAGAATGCTAAAATATCCTGGCAAAATGGCACTTTACTATGTTAAATTTAAGCAACTGTGATGTGCCATTCCTGACAAAAGAAAAGAAAGATGGTAAGGTAGGGGAAGGGGAACAAGAAGTCCAGTCCCGCAGTTAATTATATTACTTAATAGAGTTGCTGGGAAACAGAACTCTGGAGGTTTCTCTTAATAACTTTTGTCCTCTAAAAATTATCTGGATAACTTTTAATTTTTAATTGTCTGGATAGCTTTTGTGTTCTAAAAATTGTCCTCAATAGTTTCTTTACTTTGGTTGGGTTTCACCTCCAAAGTCATGCCTCCTTGTCCATACAACTTTCTGAGACTGAGACTCCTTTCCAACTGTATTAATGTTTAATATTTCAATTTTGAGGCCCCATGACTCTAGGTGGCTACAGTTAAAGAGAATTTAAAAGAAACAATATACATCATTGTGATATATATCTATATATCTATTCCATATGATTAAGGAACCTCATAATCAAGAACACATCTTTCATGAGGGTGGCGAGGTTTAATTACTACTCCACCCTCATTGCGTCATCAGATAATCGCCCGGCCACCCTCTTCAGGGTGACTCGCTCCCTCCTCCAGTTGGGGGGGGGGAGGATCCCTTGGGGGGGAGGGCCGAGGATTTTGCACAATATCTGTATGACAAAGTTGCTCGGATCCGAGAAGGTCTTGACTCTGACTGGGTGGCCCCGGGGGAGGAGTCAGGAGTAAGTCTTGAGACGGTTATATGGGAGGAGTTTGACTCTGTGGCTCCTGAGGATGTGGACAGGATTCTCGGGAGGCTGAATGCAACCACATGTTTACTGGATCCGTGCCCCTCCTGGCTGGTACTGGCTGCCCGGGAGGGTA